TATATATATATATAATATATATATGTTTAAAACATACTGGAAAAGGATGTGATTTTATTCACGTTATAAGAATTTTATTTAGTATTAAAACTGATTGTATATTGCTACATATATATCTTTTAAAAACAAAATCTTAGATAAATATGTTGAAAATTTTTAGAATTTTTAAATTCTTAACACTTTCCGGAGTCTGAGTTAAATGAAAAATGTCAGACTCGGATCTTTCAAAAAATTTCGACTCCTGCAAAGATCTCCGACTCCGACATTCCAAAAATATTATAAATTAAAGAAAATAAAAAGAATAAAAAAAGTTATATATAAAAATAATACGTTAAATTATTGAGTTAAAATGGTAACTAAGTGGAAAAACTAGTAAACAAATGAAAAAATAGAGAAACTATTTACTAAATAAATGAATAAATAAATGATAACAGTAAAAAAGATTAAACAAAATTCAACAAATGACTAAAGATTATTAAATATTTATATGATTTAGGTGCAGAAAAAAGTTTAGGTGACATTAAGATGTTTATCAAATTGGATAACCAAATAATTTCAGACAGTAAAAATCAAAATCTAAAAAAACGGAAATATTACTTACTTAACGGAAATATAAAAATTTAGATTAAATTCAGATTTATGTAAATCTAGTCTGGAAACTAAAATTTACTCTCAAATGTGGATTATGCTGATAATTAAATTGTTCATACTTTGAAATCTTGACGCCATATATAAAAAACTGGACATGGGCCTTACCAAGGAAGCAAGCTGGATATGAAAGTTAATTACACACAAAAATTTATAAAATGTTTTTACGTAAAAGTTGAAAAAATTTCTTTTTTTTTTATAAAAGACATTTTTAAGCACAACTTAATTAAAAAAGATTGGAATGGTTAGACCTAGTTTTAATTGTTACTGGCCAGAGTTTGACGCCTACTAATGATGATGTTGTGTTAATGAGATGATATTTTTTAAGCTAAGTCCACTTCAAAGCAAACTGCTTAACGTTTTACTCCACAATGATCGAATCCTAAAAATTCAGCTGGATGGTATCCTGTTGTCAAAATGATCGAATGGTCAACAAACAACCAAATTTCCGATAATCAACAATTAATCAGAATTAATGGACAAAAGGTTTATCACAGTATTTGTTTTCAAAATAATTTGTAAATAAATTAAATTTTACATAATAATAAAATGTATTTAAAAGTCAATTAATTCTTAAAAGCAACATTTTTTTAGTTACAAGCCGTTTACCCTTTGAAAAAAATGGAAACTGAACCACAAGAAAAAAAACAATGCTCCAGTTTAGTCGATGAAACTGGAGTTAAGGTTGCCAAAGTTCAAAAAGCGAAAATGTCAATTTTCACTTGTAAGTTGATTTTAAAATTGATAGAACAATTGGACATTTGTTTAAATAAATAAATAGTACCATCTTCTTTTAATTGATTAAATTTATCATTGCAATGTAAATTATATAACCTATCTTGCATTTGTAAATTTTAGGTGTAGGTTTGTTATATGATAGTTAATATTTTGTATCAATCTTGTTAAACAATTTCAAAAGGTTATTGGATATACAAAGATTGAATTTATCACTCACTCATTGATTTTTTTATTTTTGCTAACAACTTTTTCACAATCATATTTAACGCTGATGTTGCTTTATGAAACACAAAAATCATAAGATTTTTTACGTTTAATCAACTTGTATATTTTATTCACTAATTTTATAGCATTATGTTCTACAAAGCATTTTTTACCCCAGTTGCAAATCTATTTGACGGACGCACAGAAGGATTTTTTGATTTTAAGAAAGGTGGCAAAGAATATTGTCGATTTGTCGTCTTATTTCAAAAATGTAAATTAATTTATCTGTAACACTGCCAATTGATCACCCTTTTTAAGAAAATCCGCGGCCTCTATCTTTCATAGCAAAGCATCTTATTTTTTAACTTTAAATAATAATTTGGTGTCAAAAATGTAAAAATAAAAGGTCATACCTTTGTTAATTTAAAATTACAAAAAAATTATAATTTTTGGTGTTATAAAAACATTTACAGCAATCACATAAACTAAAATATTGAAAAACTAGAAGTCAAATGATATTTTATCAATTTATCTATTTCAATCTATATAATTTTACAGATAAATCTATCCAAGCTAATTTAAAGCTTACTAGAAACATAGGAGCTCTGTTAACTATCTCTGGAGCAATCACAATTGGATTAGGAATAGCAGGAATTATTTTTTACCATTTAGGAAGAAACGACTCAACAAATTTACCTTGGTGCAAAAACCCTCATGCCGAACAAAACTCAGTTACAAAAACGCTTTTGAGCTCCAGTCCTTCAATCAACTATGCCGCTAGTGGAGCCGGTTTTCTCGGAGTATCCGTTAGTCTATTTAATAAGTTATTGATTCATGTTCAATATATTTTGTTTAGTAATATCTTAAGCATTAACTGTGCTGAAGTAAAGTCATGGCCTACTTTTTTCAAGTTAATTAATTATTATACTGGTGTACAGTAAATTTGAATAAATATGCAATATATATGGAGTATAAAAAATAAAATGGTTTATTTCCAACAATGTTTTCAATAGATGTAAAAAAGGAAAGATCTAGACAACTTTGACGGAGGGTTCTATAAACTGGAAATTTTTTTTAAAATGGCCAAAATTACTTTGCGATTTTTTTATCACCCAATTTTCTGTCAATTTTCCTTTTTAAAACGGTGTTTTTGTGTAAAAAATTTGTTTTAATGTTTAAAATTTATAAATAATATACCTTAGCTAAATTTTTGAAAAATTACAATAAAATTATTTTTGACCGTTAACAACGGAGAGGCCCGCGGTTCTTTTATAAATCCGCTACTGGATAGCAACTTAAAACTTAAACAAAGCCTGCTATTAAAAATGGGTTATGCAATTATAATATAAAAATGAAATATCAACATCTTCAGCGATAAAAAAAATATATTTAACAATACCATTTTTCAACAAATCAAACTAGTATCAGTTTTGATTTCTCTAATACATTCTTTAAATTAAAATTTTGCGCTTGATTTGTCCTAAAAGGAAGCAAGCTTTTTCTGTTTTTTTAATTTTGAACTCATAACAGCCTTTTAGAAATTTTTCATACCTTTTATAAATTTTAAAATTTGCACAGATTCGAGTTAAAGCATTGAAATATAATATTTTGATTGTTAGAGCATGTCGTTGCAAAATAATTCAGTTAAATTTGTTTCGGATTCTAAATAAACATCAGTTTAATAAAAAAAATTTTTCAGACTCTAATGGTTGGAATACTTACGATGTTTTTATTCAAATTATACGGAACACTGGTAAGTAAAAAACCAGATTTATCAGAAAAATATAACATTAATAGTTTATCAGAAAAATATAACATTAATAGTTTAATACGATTATATTTTCAGTCCTATGCTGCCATGTACATGTCTTTCATCAACATTGGAATTATGCCAGTTATGGCTATATTAGCTATTTTAAGTTTCATAATGGTTAGACTTTGTGGCATTACACATTGTTATAACCGCGAGAATGATCGAATTTTGCTATATTAGTTATTATTCAATTGTTGTATCTTTAATTGTAAAATTGGACTATAAATATGCCCTCGACAGTCGAGGAGTCAAGGAGGTTTCGAGAAGAGAAAGCGAAGTCGTAAATGTGATTTATGTAGTTACTTAGATTGGTTATTGTTTCTATCACTGTTGGTATTCAAATAAACGTTCAACAAAGTTTGCGTTTGAAGCAATTCTGTTCATCTATTGGAAAGCTTGAACATACGGATAAGCGAATCTTGACTATCGTTAGAAGCTAAAACACTGGTGTTGAAAATTATTATAAAAGTTATAACATCGTTGTTTGTGTTTACGAAAATTTACGGTTATAACATTGGTATCAGAAATGGGATTTTTGATAGATCAACATTTTCTGCAGTAAAAATGCCAGCACTAGATGAACTCAATACAACTAGTCTGAGGAAAGAACTACGACAAAGAAACCTCGACTTGAAAGGAGTTTTGACAAAAAATAATTAATTTTTGTCTCCAGATTTTGCACTTATTAGGTTTCAATTAAAATTTTTTAAATGTGGCTTTAGTGTTGTCCAACAGGTCCAAGGACTTTTACTCAAATCTGGAAGATTTCCACTGAAAGTAGGAAAGTTATCGTATTTTTTAAATTTTTTACCAGAGCGGCAGAACCACTTTCTAAATTAGTCTTATTTAGCTTTGCCAAAGTGTTAGGAAGAGTTACTGAACATGCTAAACATTTGCCAGTTTTCTGTGGGATAAGAGTGTAGCCATCCGGACTCTTACCATCCTGAGCTGAAACTTATGTTCTTTCCAGCTAACCTGCAAAACATGCCTGGGTGGGTGATTAAATTTATTGGCGAATTTGAGCACTTGTAATTGAAAGACTTATAAACTATCAAGCCAAGTCTGAAAACTATGGCCATACTAATATTTTTGTCATCAAGTCTGGTAGACCAAAACTTGAGTCTGCCACAACTTACGGGACTAGAAACAGCCAATAAATAGGCAATGTTTGGAGGATTAGAACAGGAAGTCAAGAGTGTGTGAAAAGAGATTGTGTAACTCGTCAAATAATCTATTTTGAGTGAATTTTTCTCAAACCAAAGTTTGTTTAGCAATCGTGGAATTTTTCGGTAAGGCCAATTGTAAGTCAAGTGTAAGTGTAAGTGTATGTATGTATGTATGTATGTATGTATGTATGTATGTATGTATGTATGTATGTATGTATGTATGTGTGTGTGTGTGTGTGTGTGTGTGTGTGTGTGTGTGTGTGTGTGTGTATGTATGTATGTATGTATGTATGTATGTATGTATGTATGTATGTATGTATGTATGTATGTATGTATGTATGTATGTTAAAACCAAAACATGATGAGTGACACTGAACCGTCAAACATCAAGTAACAAATGGATTAACACTTTGATTTGTCGTTAATTGCACATGTCGGCATTCAGTTGGATATTTTCAAGCACACAGACACGCAGGAACCGCTGCAACAAGCACGAAATGTGGTTAGTTGCGAAAAACAGTTCCCTGCTGTCGCCTGATCTGACGCTGATCATTTTGCATATTTCCTTAAGAAATTTAAGGGTGTTGGAGTCCATCGGGCCAAGAACCTCAATGCATATTGGCAAGAATTCCATCGAGGGGAGGGCGTTCCCATATTTTTTCATTTTCTCGTCCGCTGCCCTGGCCGCGGCCAAACCGCATTCTTTACTTGTCAGGTTTACGTATCGTTCGGCGAGGGTGCCAGGGACCGTAACATCCCACGCCAAACATCTGCCAGCTCTCCAAGGTATTATCGTGCATCCGTCCGGGCGCCTACCATCATGCGTTGGAGCCTTGGAGAAGAGCCGACAAATGTAATCGTTTAGCGCTGAGTGACGTAGTTGACGGCCCCCACCCAGACGATGTATGTATGTATGTATGTATGTATGTATGTATGTATGTATGTATGTATGTATGTATGTATGTATGTATATATGTATGTATGTATGTATGTATGTATGTATGTATGTAGATATGTATGTTTTTATGTATATATGTATGTTTGTATGTTTGTATGTATGTACGTATGTATTAGGGTACCTCTCAAAAACGAAGATAAAAATTTTTATCTTCCCACCCCTGAAATGTGTTCCTTATATGAAAAAAGTAACAACTACAAAATGTTAATGTATTATATTGATATTTACTGGTAGCTCAACAAAATAATCTTTACAAGCCAAATTTCATCATAATAACGTTAACACACTTACAGAAAATGTTCCGCTATGATTTCATATTGTCTAGTATTTACTTTCTTCTTGCAGCAATAATAGTAGACTTTTTTGGAGTTGGGAAGTCTTTGCGATGTTTCTTTATTACTTGTAACAAATACTGCTTCTGGTCTTCGTTATTTGTTACAACTCTGTTGAACTCCTGAATTAAGGCCACTACTCTCTAGGCGGCATCATTGACAACTTTCAAACTTTTTACTTTCCGTTGACCAATAATGTAGTCATTGTCAGTGTTCCACATGTCCGGACTACTGCTCAAAAAATTTTGTGGTATATCCAAAGCAGTGAATCTTTGCCTGGTACGTTGCGATACGAAGTCCGAAAGCCGTTTCTGTGATATTGTGGGCTGGAATGTAATGCGTCGTAAAGGTTGATCAGTTGTTGCCTTGTCCAGTGCCGCAACTATGGCTGACTTCGTCTCAAATGAAACTTCTGAGTCAAAGAATGCTAAGCCGATCAATACTTCATTCAAGTACCATAAATGACCAGAGAATGACTTCAACGCAACATTAGCAACAGCTTCATTTGTTTTCTTGTAGCTTTCTAACTCCCGAAACAGAAGCAAGTCATTGTTTGGAGCAGATGAAGCACATGGAGAGGTAAACCAGGACTTTATGTACACCTTCAGTACAAAAGTGTTGAAGTGGCCAATAGATGTCAATTCACTGGTAGTTAATCTGAATTGTGAACGAAACAGGTAAATTTTGAGGCTGTAAATCAATTTTCCCATTCATTTTGCGTGATGGCAAACTCCAGGAGCCCGAATGCTTATGTCTTCACTATGCTGTGCTCCAAGAAACAAAAGCGATAAATGAAGAAGCTCACGATGATCAACTCTGGTTGAAACTGTGTAAGTTGATGCTGAATGAAGTGAATGAGGTCATTTTTGACTGATATGAGAACCGATGCCATGTAATCCACATCCAGTTCATTTTCAAACCTAGTTTTGTCAATTGAATGTGTGATGTCTACATGCCAAGCTGATTAGTTCCCTGTCATACTTCTTTTCCAGAATAACACATGCACCAGCTTTTACTCTTGTATTGCTGGCTGTGGTATCGAAACATTGTGAATGTAGATCCTTTATTTTAGAGATGATGTGACAGTCTTTACAAACTGGAATGCGTGCCTTGTCCCAAAACTGGACGACTTTTTTGGTAGTAACTGCGGCACTATAAGGAATAGAATGCAAATCTTTCTGATGAAGATGAAAGATACGTTGTAACACCTGTCGTTTGGAAGGAAGTTGTCAACCGTTCATTGTTGCGACAGTTCTCCCAATTAGCCAAATGCCACGTTTTTTAGATGAATCAAACTTCTGGTCTGCCATCAGGTAATAACGGTAACAAAATATTGCACAGTGAACGTTCTACAAGTGATCAAAATTATACAGCTTAAATTTAACAGTTTTTCGAATACAAATTATCAACAACATATCACCGGTAACCCTTAATATAATGACACCAAAATTTGCACAGTTTATAAACTTCATATTAGGAACAACTTTTGGGGGTGGGACCATAAAAATATTTTTTAAAAATTTTGACTATTGAACTGAGAGGCACCATAGTGTGTATGTATGTATGTACCTATTTATATATGAATACATGCATATTTGTGTGTTTGTGAGCAATTTATAAATTGTGCCTATTTGAATAAAAATTCATAACCAATAATAAATTTCATCCGTAATATTTTTACTAATAAATTAGACCTTCCCAGATTTTGGCACTCCTTCTTGTCTTCCTTTGACAGTTGTTAATGCTGGGGTTGTATTGTTTTCGGTAATTCCTCTGGCCTTGCTGTTTACAATTTACTTCAAAATGAAAAAACTTTTCAAACAAATTCGAGAAGATGTTAGTTTTTTAAATACTATTATAATATTTTTAAAATTCTAATAAAAATTAATAAAATAAATCAATGTTTCCTTTTTGTCGCCAAAAATTGAGCTGATTTGCATTTTTCTATTAATGTTCTACAATTTTTTCTAAATTTTCTTCATTACCCAGCTTTTTTTGACATTATTGCGAATTGGTGCTTGAGGTGTTTTGTAGCTAAAATTTTAGTACAAAAATACGTTGTTATAAATTTAAATGATTATCTATTTGCTTTCTCACGTATGAAATAAATAAAAAAAACTTTTTCCGACAATAAGAAATATTTCATGCCCAGGCCTGCATATTTTTTTATGTTATACCGAAGTGTGTGTGCCATTCAGGCGGTTTGCGCAATTTGTGCTAATTCTGATTTGTTTTTAGTTTGACCTAAACTGAACTGTGAAGGCAAGGCAAGTCAGAAAGTATGTGTACGTGCACAGTCAAACTGCACAGTTTAAAACAAATTTCATCAATCCATACATGTTGCTAGCTCAACATGTTGCTAGCTCAACAATCTTATTTTATTATTTTATTTTAAATATTCTTACTATACTTAATATAATATATATGAATGTATAACAGATTAAAAACAATCATTTTGTCTGATTTCATTGAAACCTACAGTTTGTTCCGTATGGGCCCTATACACAATGCTTGCCTGCTTTGGCAAATATTCGCGAGTTTGTGTGAACGTAATTTTTGCCTACACACGTCAGTGTGGTAGCACAATTCCAACAACAGTGGATTCCAAAAAAATGTTGCTGACGATCGATTTTATCAAAGTTGATAATATGCTTTCAAAATGAAATCTATTGCTGCCGAGTCAGGATTCAAAATCTCAATAAAAATTTTATCAAAGCTATAACTACATTTTGCGCTGGTCAAAAACATTGGGAAATCTTAATGGAATCCTCTATGAAATTTTTAGGAAATTTAGTCCAGCAATTGCCAACAAATAAAAATTAATTTGGATGGAGAAAACATCAAGTCCTCTATACCCTCCCCGCTTTAGCAAGATACACGGAAAAACACCACAAGAGTTTATTGTCGTGATCACAAGCTGGTCGAAATTATGCGCTCCTGTCAATTACTTGCAAATTTGATCAGATGATATATCATATATCATCACTATTCAACAACCTACGACCTGACATCGCCATCCTTCATGGACACGACATAAAGATTCTGGAGTTACAATTGTTTGCCATGAGACTGATCTAAAATCTTCCAGGCAATACAAGAAAAATAAATATTCTGATAATTTGTATCGCTGTTTAAACGAAAATTATAAAAACTGCACAATAATTGTAAAAAAAAACAAGGTTTTTATAACAATTTTAATTTAACATTTGTTTAAAATTGTATTGCCGATTTCTTTTAATGATGAATTGATAAACACTATTTTAAGGTTATCATATGGCATTTACTGTGATAGAAACAAAATGGGATAAAAAATTAAATATATTTCAACCATATATATAGAATATATATATATATGCTATATTCTATATATATATAAATATATATGATTTTAACTCTCTAAATTTTTCTCCGCGATGAGAAAATAGTCTATTTCTTCTGTTTTAATCATTTTGATTAATTTTTGTAAAAATAAATGATGTTAGTTTTATTATAATTATATTAAATTATTAATATTATAATATAAAATTATTATTAATATTAAATGATGTTAGTTTTATTATAATTATATTAAATTATTAATATTGTAATATACAATTATTATTATTATTTTGTCTCTAACCGCGACTTTAAATTTCTCAAATCTATCAAAATAAATCACATTGAATATGAACATGCGTTGCACGTGATAGGCGGTGCTCGTTTTGCATCCGTACTCAGTCAATGCAACAGCAGAAACGGGCGTCCTAAATACTACACTATTTTGTTGCTCATCAATTTTTTTAACATGATATATGACGATATATGATGAAAATAAAGACAACAAAAAATAAATAAAAAATTCAATATTAACTTGTGTCGTGAAGAGCGATTACAAATTACGGTAGGGTTAAGAATAAAACTGATGACGACGATGATGATAAAAATAAAATAAATAAATAAATAATATTAATTTCAGTTATAAAATTTTTTAATAATTAAACATAATAACGAATGTTAAAATAATAGCAGAAAGATAGTACCCGGGGTTCGGTCAAAAATATAATATTTAAATTTGCATCATCTGATTCGGGTCACATTAAATACTGTATGTTAACAGTGTTTATCCATTCATCATTTAAAGAGATCGGCATTAAAACTTTAAACAAAGACAGATCAAAATTCTTATTTCAACGGTGTTTAAAATTATTGGACAATGCTTATAATTGTGAATCAAACAACATTGTAGACTACTGGAATATTTCTTTCTATTGTATTGTCTGGAGAACTATAGATTGGTTTCGTGTAACACATTTAGTTCTAATATCTCTACTTTGTTTTTTTGAAAGATGGCGATGCAGGTTGTAAGAGGTTGAATATTTGTGATATAGGGCAAATGTTTTCTGACTCAAAATCTGCGGATATGAGACAGTTGCAAGACCGCATACTTTCAACAATCTAGTGGTTTGGTCTCACTACCACAGACATGGAATTAAAATTAGAAATGACGTGTTTATTTGTCCGACAAATGCTAAAAAAGCATAAATGCCTCATCGAAACAAATTTGCATTTGCTGGACTAAGTATTTACTAGCAAATTTGCAGAAAATTCTCATAACATTTTTGATGTCTTTGACTAGCGAGATAGGTGATCGGCTTTGATAAAATTTTTTATTTTTGAAATTAAAGAAACTTGATTTTGCAACGAGAGAACAAGATTAAAATATTATTCTATTTGTTTTTGTTTCAATCGGTTGAAAAATGATTTTAAATGGCATGATTTTGAAAACGTATTAACAATTCCCTTGATGATAGACAATGTATGGACACCCTCGAAACTGGCTGCCACACAACGCGCTGACGAGGACCTACAATTCGTCATCAGGTAAAAGAAAGCCGGCAACCACATTATGCAAACATTGATATCTAGGTACAAAAACGTATGTTCTCAAAAAATGCACGGGTGACCGTCAAGAAAATACCTTGAAGTCAACTAAACCCTAGATAGGATTTAAAAAAGTTTTATTGGATCTGCGCCCGTGAAGACTTAGAGAGCTGGGACCGGAATCGCACCACGTGTGCGGCAGCAAAAGAACCCAGGAAAAGGTATCATACGCCAATGATTGTAAACTACTATTTGGAACCAACTGGGGTCAGGATAAAGAAACACAGATACAAACGAAAAAAAACAATATCCAGGCCGGTGATAGAACACGCTTGCAGTGGCGTTTCGACTATAAAATTCAATCTTAGCAAATTTCTTATTGGCGTTCCTTGACCAAAAAAAAATTCAAATTCTTCTTTGATCAATCCAAAACTAAACTCAATTTTTTTATTGTAAAAAACATGCTAACAATAAAAAAAAGCAAATTATACAAATACAAAAAAATCCTACTCCGGTCACATAAAAAAGTAAATTGTCAAAAATTGTAACAAAAACCATGTTTTTAGACAATAAAAAAAGCAAATATTTTAGTTCTATTTATATTTCAGCTTTTCTGGCTTTTGCTGAAGCAAACTCGTTGATTATCTCTTCAAAATTTAAACCATTTATTTCATTTTCTTCACTTTTCTGGCTTTTGCAGAGGCAAGCTCGTTGATTATCTCTATAAAATTTAAACCATTCATTTCATTTTCTTCAATACTTGTCAATGCCAAGTTGCACAATCGCTGTTGACTTATTGTAGCTCTTAAGTAACATAATATTAATTTTAACTTACTGAATGATAGCTGACAAGTAGCAGTGGACATACTTATAGTTAGTCAAACTTGAAGAGCAACTCGTAAATTAGGAAAAACGCTTTGGTCTTCGTATTCAATTATAAATTTAAGAAGATCTTCTGACGTTAAAATTTTTTGTTTCACGTGCAGATAGTAGCGTTTTGTAATGAAATATTTAAAAATACGATTCAGTACCATCAATATCTGAATTGTAGAACTCCGATAAATGTAAGCGTTGTATTTTCAAGTTATCATTTTTTTTTATTATATAATAAATTTTTTAATCTAGAGTGATTCCGAATTTTTGATCAGCTTCATTTAGTCGTCCAAACCTGTCACTAATTTCTAAATTTACTCTTTCCACAGCACTTTTCATAATTCTTCGTAGTTCTTCCTCGGCATTCAAGCCAACGTCTCTTCATATTATTCCAGGAATCGTTTATTATTTCTTCTCGTTCGTTATTCCCACCTCGTATTGTTTGCACAGGTTTTTTTTTCCGTTTCAATACATTCATAAACAATCATTTTGTCATTAAATAACTGACTTTTAAGAGCTTCAATAACATTGGTTGCGTCATAAAAATTTATTTTAGGATCCTGTAGCCTCTTTTGAACACAGTCAATGGATTTCAAAACTCCAATGTTGTTTCAATAATGTTTATATTTTATATACTTCGAATTTTGCCAATTGTTATAATTCAAGCTTTTGATTTTATTTTTTAAAATAAAATCAAAAAACTTGAAAGCGTGCCTACTTCTTGTTAAAATATTTAAATTGGTGATTGAAAATTATACAAAAACTAATAAGATAAGGTGCGTTGAGAAAAAAATGTGCCTGTAAACAAAAACTTATTCATTTAGGCGTCTTATTACCATAGACCACTAGGTTATATTTATTTCCAAATCATGCACTCACAGACCGATATATTATGGCTAAATAGAGAATTTTGAACAAAATATTTGTTTTAAAACTTATTTAATTTTGCTTAAATGTGAATTGAAGTGAATTTTCTGAGGTGGAGCATGTTAAAAAATGGTCTGATCTTTTTGCAAAAAAAGTTGATTTAGTTCAGTTGCCAGTTCAGTTGCTTCCACTGATTCAAAAATTAACATTTGTAATGAAAAGAATGCAAGAAAAAATAACATCATTGTCTTCAATCTTGTGGGAAACAGTCATTTCTCGAAAGCAAAAGTTAAGGAGATAATGTCTGGCCTTTTTAAGGCTTTGCTACCTGAAACTGATATTAGCAAGGAGATATCAGACTGTTTTAGATTGGGTAAATTAACTGGAGAAAACCAAAGACCCAGGCCACTTTTAATTAAGTTGAGTGGCTACTCTATTAGGAACCAAATATTGGAAAGTTGCTTCAAGTTAAAAGATAATACATTTTTCAAAAAAGTTATAATTTCTCATGACCTGATTAGAGAGGATAGAGAAGAATGCAAGAAATTAATATCTGAAAAAAAGAATAGTATATCTTCAACAGAAGACATCAACAAATTTGTTTTTTTTATAAAGGGCCATCCAGGTGATTTTTATGCTGTGGCTCGTAGAAAGAAAAATTTTCAGTTGGGAACAAGTCGTATGCAATGTGTAGGATGCGTGGTTTGCACGTGTATTCATATACGCTGTGTGTGTTTGTCGTTGAAACCTCAAAAGAGAGAGAGTAACCTTTAACCTTTATTTACTCAACAGTAATCAATGATTTTATGATTTTGTATGCAAATGTGGATACTTTGACAAACAAATTTGTGGAATTAAAGTTTTTATTAGATTCTTGCAAAAAAGCTCCCAAGTTAATTTTTTTAAATGAAGTTAATCCTAAATATTACAAAATCCCACCAAGTCTATCTGAGTTTCAATTAAATGGACACCAGGTAATTTCAAAAGGTTTTGCTGTCAAGGATAGTCGTGGTTTGCTGGTTTATTTCTGTAATGATCTTCCCATCACTGAATTAATTTTATCATAATCATTTCACGATATATCTGTGTTCAGCTGTCTTCGAAACTAATAAAATTAAATGTTCTGTCTCTGTGTCGTAGTCCTGAAAGCTTTGACTTAAACAATATTTTATTATTACAGCTGGTTGATTGATTTTTAAAGTTGCCTGGTTTTCATCTTATACTTGGTGATTTTAATTTACCGGATATCAATTGGGGTTTTCAAGGTTCAACAGGCCCACCTGCAGGAATAGATAATATGTTTTTAAATTTAATCAATGATAATTTTTTGAAACAGCATATTGATCAACCCACCAGAGCTTGTGGTACACAGCAGTCCCACATTTTGGACTTGGTAATCACTGATGTGGATATCATCAAAAACATATCCTGTTTGGCACCAGAGGGAGCGGGTGACCACTCTGTTCTTTCTATGGAGGTATGTGGCTTCCATGCGGTAAAACATTCGGATATTAAAAAATTCTGTTACGACAGTGGAGATTATTATAATTTAAATGTCGACTTTAATAATGCTCTGCCCGCATTACTTGATTTGCATCCTGGATCGTTGGTTGAAGCGCTTTGGACCTCGTTTAGAAATTTAATTCTTGGTTTAACTGCAAAGTACGTCCCATAAAGAAAAATCTGTAAAAAGCGTACGTTTAAAATGACTCCGGAATTACGTTTGTTAATAAAGCTGAAACATGTCTCATGGAAACAAATTTACAGATATGGCAGCAATTGTTGGGATTTGTTCAGGTCGTTGAGAGACAGGATAATCAATTTTTCTCACTAAAGTTTTTTTGGTGAAGATTTAGTTTATTAAAATTCAAAATAAACTTATATATATATATATATTATATATATATATATATATATATTATAAATATATATATATATATATATATCAAAAATTCAACACTACTTTCAACATTGTTCAACTTTTTTATATTTTTTTTTAATTTATTAATTTCAGAGAAATTAGACATTTTATTGTTTTTTTTTTTAAAAAAATTTATTAAATAAATTTGCAAATAGCTATTTCGAGTTATAAATAACTCATCTTCAGTGCATTATATATAAGGTATGTAAGATATTTGATATAAAGGAACAAGTAATTATTAATTTATATAAATTATTTAATTAAAACAGAAAATCAATAAAATAAATTTAATAACTATAAACAATATAAAACGCGATTTTTAAAAATTTTAACGGCAAGATTGTTTATATTATGGTTGTTAAGGTAAATATCAACGCTCAGCCGAGAAGCGCGAATTAATTTATTTAATTAACTACTTATTATTAATATTATTTTGACAATATTTAAAAACGTTATTATTATTATTATTAACGTTATTATTAATATTATCATCGCTGTGGTTCTTCTTGCTTCTTGTGATGATGTTCTATTTGCAAGTGATATTTGCGCTGTGGGTTGTGGCGCTGGTATCTACAGTGTTGGCACTGTTGTTGTTGATGCTGTTGTTGTTGTTGTTGATGTTGGTGTTGGTGTTGTTGATGTTGTTGTTAGGGTTGTCACTATTGATGATGTTCCAATTGCAACTGATATTTGCGCTGTGGGTTGTAGCATAGGTATCTAAGGTGTTGGCACTGTTGTTGTTGTTGTTATTATTGATGTTGTTGTTGTTGTTGGTGTTGTTGATGTTCTTAAAGTTATCACTATTGGTATGATTGTTGTTTACATCATCAATATTGTTGGTGATAACATTGTTATAATTATTGCTGTTGTCGTAATTGTTGTTGTTATAATTATAATGATTGTTGTTTTTATTTAGTAGTCTATTTGAAGGTAGAATGTTGTTAGACTGTACTTGAATGTTCATGGAGGGATTTTTGTTTTGTATGAAAATTGATTCAACTATTTTCAGGTTTGTGATGTTGTTATTGCAATAAACTATTTACGTGTTATTTAACATTTGTCGTGTTAAAGTGATGTTATGCTGTTGTTGATAATGTTGTTTAATTGCTCCATCTTGTAGATGCATGGTCAAACGTCTTGACAATGTGGTAGTTGTCATTCCAATATATGAAGCATTGTTGCGGGGCAAAAATTCACCGACGGAGCATTTATATTCATATATTAGATGACTTTGTTGTAGTTGAGTGGTTGCAGGAAGGCAATTACTTTTCATGATTAGTTGGGATGTTTTCAAATTTTGATAGTAAATTCGAAGAACAACTTTATTAATTGGATTTGACGCTACTACGTTTCTGCGTATTATTCCTTTTAAAATTCTTTCATCTTCTTTATACGCCATTGAAAAGGTATTTTTGTAGTAAAATATTATCTTATTTTTGTCATTCATTTTGTTGTTGATTTGGTTTCTAATGATACGGCTGTTGTTGTTGCTGTTGTTGATGTTATTGTTGTTGTTATTGTTATTACTGTTTGTGGTGAGGCTTGTGATGCTGTTATTATCAAAGTTATTAGACGTGGTGGAGGGGTTGCCATTATCTTCCTGTTCATTGTTGTTTGGAACGTTGTTGGTAATTGCATTATTTTGATGTATATTTTGTGCATTTTCATGATATTTTTTGGTTAATCTATTTATGACTTGATCAATTTGTTTCAAAGAGTAATTATTGTTCACGAGAAGTTTTTTTTATTCTTAATAATTCTGAGTTGATGAGTGTATAATCAGACCAATGTTAAAACGCTCTGTTAACTAAAGAAAATATAACACTATTTTTATATTGTTCTGAGGTCTCGCTTTTACCATTAAGACAAAATCCCAAGTTGGTGTCTTTTACATAAACTTGCGTTTGAAAACCAATGTCATTTCTGGTTATCAGGACATCCAAAAATGGTAGCTGTTTATTATTTTCAATTTCATGGGTAAAGGAAACAACTGAGTTGGATTTAAATTCATCAACTAGGTCCATCAAGTTTTTTTCATTTTCTACTATAATGAACGTATCATCAACATATCTTACATATATTTCGGGTTTGAGATGTGGTTTCTTTTGGAAAACAGTTTCTTCTAAATATCCCATGTAGAAGTTTGCAAACATCACTCCTAGAGGGGAGCCCATGGCTACACCATTGACCTGCTGATACATTTTTCCATCAGGAGTATAGAAAGGAGCTTTTTTTGTGCAGATTTGAAGTAACTGTTTTAGCAGATGATGAATGTTCGCACCGCAACAATGCTTCATATAATGAAATGACAACTACCACATTGTCAAGACATTTGACCATGCATCTACAAGATGGAGCAATTAAACAACATTTTCAACAACAGCATAACATCACTTTAACACGACAAATGTTAAATAACACGTAAATAGTTTATTGCAATAACAACATCACAAACCTGAAAATAGTTGAATCAATTTTCATACAAAACAAAAATCCCTCCATGAACATTCAAGTACAGTCTAACAACATTCTACCTTCAAATAGACTACTAAATAAAAACAACAATCATTATAATTATAACAACAACAATTACGACAACAGCAATAATTATAACAATGTTATCACCAACAATATTGATGATGTAAACAACAATCATACCAATAGTGACAACTTTAACAACAGCATCAACAACACCAACAACAACAACAACAACATCAACAATAACAACAACAACAGTGCCAACACCTTAGATACCAATGCTACAACCCACAGCGCAAATATCAGTTGCAATTGGAACATCATCAATAGTGACAACCCTAACAACAACATCAACAACACCAACACCAACATCAACAACAACAACAACAGCATCAACAACAACAGTGCCAACACTGTAGATACCAGCGCCACAACCCACAGCGCAAATATCACTTGCAAATAGAACATCATCACAAGAAGCAAGAAGAACCACAGCGATGATAATATTAATAATAACGTTAATAATAATAATAATAACGTTTTTAAATATTGTCAAAATAATATTAATAATAGGTAGTTAATTAAATAAATTAATTCGCGCTTCTCGGCTGAGCGTTGATATTTACCTTAACAACCATAATA